AAAAGTGACTATCAGCTAGACCAGTTTCTTGAACTAATTCACCATGTGGACACAAATGTTTGTTTTGGCAAGCCTGGGAAAGTAAGGAGGGCAGAAATGGCTTGGCTCACGGTGGCTGCTTAGGTAACACGGCTGTTGTAAGAATATGCCTAACAACAGAGGACCATGGGTAGATGCTTCGCATTTATTTTATTTGTAACTAAATTTTTTTCCTGTTATGTCTAACTGAAAGTTTTCTTTGTTTTACTGTTGATCCTCAAAACTATGTAAGAATGGTGAAGGATTCATCCTAATTCTATGAGGTTGTTAATGGGGAGACTTATTTCTGTTTCTGTTATTAACTCCATTATTCATCTTTCTTGAACAGTACACAAGATCACTGTAGAGTCAGAATACTTACAGATCTGTTGGGAACAGAGAAGAACTTAGCTGGCAACCTACAGCTGTGCTGTGCAGTGGGTACATCCAAAAATGGAAGAAGGCTGTACTAGCGTGGATTTTTTTTGCTTTGTGCATGTTTGGAAAATACGGAAGTAGGATGTCACACAGAATCCCAAGCTGGCTGTTGAAATATCAAATAATATAAATTAAAATTTCTGCAATGCTTGTTCTTGTTTGCAACTTTTAATGGGAAATCTATAGAAATATTTATAGATCAGCTAGTTGTAAGCTTGAGAGATTTCTTTCTATGAAAACCTAAGACTAAGAGCATCTGGAATAATTGCTGTTGCAAATGATGTTGCAGTCATAAAAAAGAATGTATAGTGAAAGAAAAATTCCAAGTTGCATATCAGTATACAGTTTGCAGAAGGCTCAGGTTCTTGCTTTGGGAAGTCTACAGTGGTATGAGGAACAGTCTGAAGTACTGAACAATAAAAGATTAAATGCAATCAGAATTTTCCAGTCTCAAACTGTTCATTAATTAAAGCAGACAGTTTCAGACTTGAAGGAAAAATAAAAAGCACAGTCAAAACTTTGCTGACAGTTGTTTGATAGTTAAGCGTGTGGAAACCTTTTTTCAAAAAATTACTTATATGCTCCCTAGTGTTTGCAGATATCCTTTAGCTGAAATACTTTTTCAGTTTCAAGCCAAAAAGTGTGCTTTTTGCAGTCATAAAAAAATATGTATGTCGAAAGAAAACTTTCAAGTTGTGTAGCAGTATATGGCTCAGATTCTTGCTTTGGTAAAGCTCCAGTGGTGTGAGGAAGTGCTAGGAATTGTGTGCTGTCCCTTTTAGGTGATGTGTAGTGCAGCCCAGTTCTGGATGTAGTCTATACAGAGAGGCAGTGATTAGAAATGAACAAGACTTGTTACTTCAAAAATAGAGAAAATTAAGGGTATTTGGAAAGCTATGGAATATTTGTAAGGTAAGTGTAAAGTTTTTTGGATGTTATTGGGTTCCAGTAAACCATAGCTTCATAGTAATTATTTCTTAAACTTTCTAGTTTATGGATTTGTTAAATAAGGACCGCATTTATGTGTAGAAAAGAAAGATAAATCTATTCTGGTAGACTTCACAGTTAGTAGCATGTCTGTATGCTTAGCAGGGGAAAGGGTGGAAAGGTGAAGACTCACACAGATTTTATGTTGATGCATTTCTTCAAATAAGATTAAAATAATTTGGCTTGATGCTCAGCTGTGTTTAAAAGACCATTTAAAAAGAAAAATTTTAATGTTACAGTGCTTCTCGTAATGTTAATGTATCCTGTTTCCAACCTTCTTTTAGAACAGAAAATATGAAAATGTTTAGTTCAAATTTTAATTTTTTTCCTAAATAAACAGAAGACTCAAAGCCAAAATACTTGTGTCCGTGTTTCAGTTATATAAGCAATGCTAAAATAAACAGTCTTTAGGACAACAGGTCTGGGGTCATATCCTGTTTGCAGGTGTAAGCCTGTTTACTGGGACATAAGACATGGGTTTTCCATGCCATGCCCTGCCTGATCTACAGCTTCTCTCCTGCTTTGTACTAGGGGCCCCTTAGTATTTGGTGCTGGAAAACCAGTTCTGTGAGCTCTGCGTTTTGATTCATGTTAGGCTTCATCCTATTCATCAGACGCTGGTGTTCTTCCCCTCTGTCTAGAGTACCTTCTGGCCAAATGGATTTGGCATGACTAATGGTCTCCTTTCATAGTCTGTATGTCTTGGTCCATTTCCTTTTCTGAATTCAGTCGAAGCAGCAAAGCATCTCTGAGCACAGACAGGGTGGTTGGGTTGCATCTTGCCTGAGGCCCTCTTACAAATGGTGACAATCCACTTGCCCTTGTTTGGGGGGTAAATCACCTCATCCTGAAGGATGGGTTCTATTTGTTAAGAAAAGCAACTTGATGCTTTTGAGTAAACAGTAGTCGTCCTCTTTGTTTAAAAGTGTAGTCAATAGAAGATTTCTTGTGGAACCTTACAATAACAAATATTCACCAGGGATGTGACCCCTTTCCCCTACCCCTCCCAAGTGAACACAACTCTACTCCAGTTTGATTTTGGTGTCTCTATTGATCATAATTTGGCTGGCAATCCAGTGCTTAAGTTTATTTCTCAAATGCCAAGGTATTATTTTGGGGGGAGGGAAGAATTAAGGAAGGCTGGATGAAAAGTCAGCTCATTTCTGATTTTCTAATGTTTAAAGTACACCTGCCACATCTCCTTGTCTGTAGACGCTTTGTTTTGCAAAAGGGTAAGAATTTCCTTGGACAAATAACTGGTTGAGTTTTACTTTAAGCTAATGATTAGTGGCTTTCAAGAAATGATCATGTACCCTTTTTTTTTTTTTAATAAGAAAAATTAGATTTCTTTATTCCACGAATATTCTAGCATGTATTTTACCAGTGTAAAAGAAACAAAAATGAACTAGCAAGATTGATACTTCAGTGGACTCTACAGTTGGTCAGGAATACTTTGTCAGTTGCTTGTAAATGTGTCCCTTTCTTATGCATGTAAAAGGGTTTAAAGTATTCTGTGAGCACTGAGGTCCTTTATCCCATCAGTTGCTTATGGAATACTAATGAAAACCATGTATGTGCATCATGTGGAAAATATGTTGGCAGACAGATACCTGCAGTGCCTTAAATGCTTTGGCATTGTCTTTGTTTAATTAGCATAGTTGATCCCTACTTCCCCTAGAGGTTTATACTTTCAGAATAAGATCAAAGGTTTATATGAAAATTTAAGCAAAAGTAGAATTCACCTATTTTAGAGATGAATGTATAGATAAACATAAGCTTAAAAATAAAACCTTAGGCACTCCAGTCTCTAATATAAAATGGCTCGTGGGAACAATAATTACGGGAGTTATATATATTTAAAAATCAGACATCTGAGATGTAAACAGAAGAATTTCCTGGAATTAAATAACTATCTGATTAAACTTTTGTGATTTGTTTTCATGATGCTTTCTAGAAGAGTAGATGTTTTATGCTGTGTCTGTGTGCTTTGCTAAATTAATAAGCTGACTTGGCATTGAAAATGCTCTTTGAAGAATGTCAAAAAAAACCCCAGAATCAAACCTCTTAAGTTAAAATAACAGTTAAAATATCCATTACAATTTTTGGGGTATTCTGTCTTTTTGTGGTGCTGATTATTTCTGTTACTATTTATGTCTGCTTAAAATGATACAGAGCAAGTTGGGTGACTTCCATTGAAAGCTGATTCCAGTAAATGTTTAGTGGAATAGAGGAAAAAATCCTAGGAGTAGCAACAGTTAAATTAAAATTATGAGGCAGGAGTGGTATCTTACTGCTAAATAGAAAATACATAAATGGAGTAGTTTCAGTAAAACTACAGGGAAACTAGAGAACAAAGCAATTACATTAAAACAAGATGATGACCAAGGGTGGTACTAACAAAAAAATTCTGTCGTCAGTGTTTTATGAATGTAGTTCATACTTCCTTATTAGAAGTGAATTTTGATGTGTTAATGTATTGTCTATACTGTATGGCAAAATTATGCTTCTTTTGTTAAGAAAATTTCACAATATTTATCAGTTGTCATATCTTTGCAACTGACGCCATACTTTCTGTTTAGTAATCAGTTGTTGCTGAAATAGCAGGGACAGGCTCTGCATTGGAAATGGAAGCATCACCAGTAAATGTATTTGGGTTCAACTTCATAAGAGTTATATATGTGTAAAATCTTAGCTGTGATGTTGCAGTGACATATTTCTTTTTTCCCTGTAATTATGAACTTATGAGGGGCACAACGAGTTATGCAGTTTTGAAGACTGTGGGCTTTAATTCTGTTCTCTGAAAATGCTGTTTGAGTGATACATCAGCCTAGTGCTTCTTATATGAGTATGCAGCTAAAGTTTGAGTATCTGAGTTACTGAAATAGTAGACAGGCTAAAACATGTGGTGGAGAGTTTTCCACAGGACAGACTTCACAATTTCTTATTGAAAATTATTTCTGCACTTAAGCAGTGTATCATGCTGTCTGTTCATTACCGATCATCTTCTAGTTTTTATCAGGTAGAGTTTGTAAGTACCAGAAAGTTGTGCAATCTTTAAAATATCAACCTTTTTTTAAAAAAAACCAACCTGTCAGAACAGTATATTTACTTTCAACTGAAATATTGAAAATAATTATAGAAACTGAAGCATTTAGCTTTAGCAACTTTTAAAATAAAATGGAGATATTTGGTTTTTCTACCTTGGATATAATGAGATAGTAGGACTCCATATTCCTAAACTCTGCAATACTTAAGTGCAGTTTGGAATAAGACTCTGACTTTTCAAAGAAATGTGCCAGAATTGTGACTTTATAGAAATTAGCTTTTCTCAGTTATTTTTATCACTTTTTTTTTTTATTATTTTGCAATTGAAGAACAAACATTGCTGCCATGATTTATTTGAGATGTTCCAATTTTCTGTGGCCTTTCACTAGTCAGTTCAGTTAAATGTATATGGGAATTATATTTGAAACAGTTACTTTTACTGTTATTACAATGAGCTTTCCTTCATTCTTGACAAAATAGGAAATAGGACCAAATGTCTTGTGTGTTCTGACTTTTCTGCATGTATGTGCATCTCGTCAGTAGAAATAATGTGTTATTACTGCTACATGAGTCTGTTGCTCTTACTACAAAACAAAGTCACTATGTAGGCAAATCCTGAGGTACTGTATAGTTCCAATATCTATTGGACAGGTTTGCAGGATCATATTACATCAGGCACTAAATGTCATAAGTTTCAGGAGGAACTTACTATTCTTCCAAAATGTAAATTAAGGAACCCTTCCCCCTTGCTTTTGCAGTTGGTAGATAATAGTGTTAGTATCTGAAGCTGTGCATTCCGGGGAAGTAAAATTCTGCCTGAACTACAAAGAGATCTCATGTCTGCTTGCCACAGCATGTTTTTGAAGTCTTTTGTGTAATAGCTACTGTTCTAAAAGCATATTTTGTTGAGGTAAAAATACAGTAGATTATAAAATGAGAAGGACAGACTTGTTTCTAATGTGTGTGAGAGCATTCAGACTTATTAATGTTGATGTTAGTCCAAGAAAAGATTTATTAATTTAAAATTTATTTTAGTTCTCCTCAAAAAGATATGGATAAGAAAATGGATGAAGAGCAGCCTTTGACCGTGTGTAACCAGTACCCCAAAGAAGCAGTGAGGAAACGTCAGAATTCAGGTCGAGGTTCCAGGGGCAGCGATTCTTCCAGAACCTCCAGAAAAAGCTTCAGGCTGGACTACAGATTAGAAGAGGATGTAACTAAATCAAAGAGAGGCAAAGATGGGAAATTTGTCAACCCGTGGCCAACATGGAAATCGCCAACCTTGCCAAATATTTTGAAATGGTCCCTTATGGAAAAAAATAACAGCAATGTGCCATGCTCAAAACAGGTAAATACTTGCATGTTTTCTGCTCTTGATTTAGACTGCTTTTTCCTCTGCTCTAATCAATAAAATAGGACAGTTTCTGACTAATACTTATTGGGCATCTTTTGGAGACTTTTCTAAGTCTTGTGTTTTTGATTTTATTATTACTTTATCTTTGCAGAAGATGGTTTAATACTTTCTGACTCTTTAATTTTTTTTTTCTCCTTTCTGTTAGTTCCATACCTTTTAATTTATTAAGCTAGGTTTAGATCTACAAAACCAACAAAAAAGGCCTCCTAGTTCAGTCATAAACTACAGTTACTCTTTTCTTTTTAATAAGTGTTGCCTTATGAAGCTTACTACTGTCATCATTCGTATTGCATGAAAGAGCTGTGGAATATCTAATTTTAAAAATTTTGCATTTTTTTCCCAGATTGCTGTTTACTATATATGTTACATCTTTTTCATAAAAATGTAGTAAACAGTTGCTGTCATTTACTTATGCAAGTGTTTGCAAATCTGTGTTTTCCTGTTTCTGTACACCAGGAGCAAGTATTTGTATTGAAATACTAAAGGTGCAGTGCCAGTTTATACCAAGAATAAATAATGATGTTTCCCTGTATTGCTTCTGTCAGATATTCTATATAAAGAAGGACGTGGGGGAAGCAATCTCTGAGGAAAGCTGCTTTTTCATGAGGAGTAATGGATACTGGAAAGCTATGGGTTATCTTTGTGGCCACAAGAAGTGCTATGATGGCTACAGTTCTGACAGTTGGGATTACTTCTCAGTGGATTTTCTAATGTGTTGACTGCATTCAGAAAAGCTGTGCTGAAATGTGCAGAACCAGGGAAAGCATTTTTGAACAAATAGGTGTTGTTAATGCTTTTAAGCATCCAAGAATATTATGCTTTTCATTTTTTATCTTTGTATGAATTGCCTGTGAAGGAAAGAATTTAATCAACTTTATGGATAGGAAAGCCATGTTACTTATTAATACATGATGGTCAGAGGTTTAGGGATTTCTTTAAGGATAGATATGTGGTACTGAACATTAAGGGAGAAATAATCTTGGCTGTAATTGTTCTATAATAATAATAATGACTTCAGAAAGAAACACAGGCAACCTATACTGGTTTTGGGATCCCTTCCAACATTTTACTGTTTTAAATTTGTTGTCTTGCTTCTAGACACTATCTGCACCTTGTAGTCATAACTGCAGTTGTGCCTCAGTGTGTACAGCTTTCTAGGTGGTGCGTTGCATAGTGATACTTTGGCCACATTTGTGTAAAATTCATGCCCTGGCATTTTCAATTGCCTTTGACCACTGCCCTATTCCATATATGTACAATAGGCTTTGTATCTGGCCAGCACCAGTGAGAAGCCTGGTTAGTGACTGAAGTACCTAGAAGGCAGTGCTAAGGAGTACTACAGAGTGAAGAATATGTAGCTTTCTGATGGCAGTGGAGAACTGCAGCACTCCCCTTTAATTTACAGATTATCCCTGCAATAAAGGATGATTACAAAGAAATCCACGCTGTACCAGTTGTAAAGCTGTCTCTCTGACCCACTTGGGATTCATTTTGGACTAAACTTACTGCTTTGCATATGAGATTTTTTTAATTAAGTGCTGGCAATTATTAAGGAGCTCAGTGAAGTAAATCATAAATACAAAAATCTAGATAGGGATCAATGAAATGCACTTCTGGAGTCCTCAGCCATTCTGATGCTTCTTCCAGCTATCTTTGTTCCACACCTAAATCAACCTGTAAAGCACTTCTGAGCTTATTTAAAATTCAAACTAAGTTGTCCATACTTTATTTAGCATTGATAGATAGCATGACTTTTGAGCAGACTCCTACTTTTAATTTCCACATTGAGTGTGCCTAGTGATACCCTGCTATGCTGAGCAGGTTCAGTTTATCTGTATCAAGTGCTTTGCATAAAAAAAAAAAAAAAAAAAAAAAAAAAGCAGCATATTATCCAGGATATGTGCTTCACTGTGTAGAAGCTGTATGTATTCTAATCATGCCTTCACAACAAGCCTGTATCATTATCCAGAATGCATAGACTTCTTGTATTTTCATTACAGTCTTTATTAATAACTTTTTTCAGTGCTGTTGGAGTATCTTTAGTTGTTGGATCAGCAATTTAGATTGTTTTCATTTCTGCAAAGTCCAGTGGTATTCCAGTATGCACTAAGCACCAAAAATCCTAAGCTAATTAGCTAGTCTTACCAAAGACCGTCATGTGTTTCTTCTTGCTTTGTATTAGGAAGGAAAGAACATGGGAGGAGGGAAAGGGCACAGCAGGAGGAATTTTTGTATTACTCAGTGATGAAGATAAGAAAGTATTAGGCACCTTTTGCTTCTGTTGGTAGCTGATTTGACATCAATGCCATATTTCAAAGATCTGTTAGGATTCTGTAGTATTAATATGTTTCTGGTTAGTCTGACAGAGAACAAAATGTACTATAACAGGATAAGCGTTCCATAAAATTATGTATTTCATTCATGATGTTGTTTTATCTTGTTGTATGAGTTTTAAGAATTTAATATGAGGTATACTGCCAGTAGAACTTGTGTTTTAGTTTGAAATCTTAGAGTTGAGTAATGAGTCCTTATTGCTTTAGAAAGTAATTCTGGGGATTTTAGTGTACTTTTGTAAAATATAAAAAAAACACCACCCCAAACACAAACTCCATGGACTGAGACGTAATTTCTTCGTCTTTTTCCGTGTGATTTAGTATGATAGCTCAACAAAATGCCTGTTTTCTTATCTCATCCTCTGAGGAATCACTGATTTGGATCAGAGGCCTGTGTATCACAAGCATGTAGGGCTCATACAGAGCTTATGCTTTCCAACTTATACTGCCTTTGTGCTCTTGGTTTGCCTTGAACTTTTGTTCACCGAATTTCATTTAAATAGGTCAAGATACTGGTTGCTTGAACTGTGCTACACTTTATTTGTCAGTCTTTCTGTCTGTGTGTCCTTTACAAATGTCTTTTATAGCGATTAGTTCTATCTTTAAATCAACTGTTTGAAATACTTAATAGTGTCGATCCTAGTGACATCCTTGTAAAGCCTTTAATAGTGCAAATGTGTTGTCGTTTTGCCCTGGTAGGCAGCTAAGCCCCACACAGCCACCTGCTCACTCGCTCACCTGCAGTGGGATAGGGGAGAGAATTGGAAGGTCAAAAGTGTGAAAACTCATGGGTTGAGATGAAGGCAGTTTAATAGGTAAAGCAAAAGCTGCATGCACAAACAAAGCAAAGTAAAAAAATTGATTTACCCCTTCCTATCAGCAGGCAGGTGTTCAGCCATCTCCAGGAAGCAGGGCTCCATTGCCCATAACAGTTACTTGGGAGGACAAGTACCATTACTCTAATGTCCTCTTGCCTCCTCCTAACCCCAGCTTTTATTGCTGAGCACGATGTCACGTGGTCTGGCATATCCCTCTGGTGAGTTGGGGTCAGCTGTCCTGGCTGGGTCCCCTCCCCAGCTTCTTGTGCACCCCCAGCCTAGTGGCTTTGGTGCTGTTAAGCACTGTTCAGCAACAGCTAAAACATCAGTCTGTTATCAACAGTGTTTTCAGCACAAATCCAATACATAGCACCACAGGAGCGACTAGGAAGAAAATCAACTTTATCCCACCCAAAACCAGTACAACATTATCTGAGTCACAGTTAAGAACTAATTGTTCACATCGGCCAGTTCTTTATCCATTTAGTGTTGTTAATATTTTATTATGCTGATTTTAAAAACTAGTTTATGTCAAATGTCAGCAAAAATAATGTAGATTCATCTAATTCTCAGAATAATTTGTTGTCTACCTCTAAAACAAGCTATTTAAAAAGAACATTTTCCATAAAAAATGTATTTACTGACCTAAATTGCATTATGACAATTAATTACTAAATTCCATATCTGAGTTTAATTTCTTAGATATAATCTGACTTGTTGATTTAACCATGTGTAATTTGATGGGTTGTCCTAATTTCCATTTTTGAGTATTACGTTAGTTTTATGGATGTTCCACTTTTTTTTAATTCAAGCATCACAATATAACACTTTCTGTGGTTCAGGTTTCTGCTGCCAGTGTCATTCCCATGTATTTAGAATGAAATAGAGGTAAGAAAGTGATGCTTTCTTGGAGAAGCAGCAGTTTATCTCAGTTTAATACTCATACTTTTTTGTTCTTGTATGAATAAGTGGTTGTATTGTACTAACCTTAGATTCAGCTTTATAGAAGGTTATCTATTTTAATTCCTGGAGACAGTAATCAGATTCTCTTCTGTAGACATGTCTTGTCCATTAGCTCTCAGAAAAAGCAATTTCATCAATATTACTTATAGTAGAATTGTAGGGGAATGGAAGTATATGTGCTTTGTTTTTCCCCAACATATACTCTCCAAATTAATAAAATACTGTGGAGAAAGTAACTTTCCTGAAGCTTTCAAGACTGTTTTAGCAATGGAAATCCTAGACTCCTAAACTGTCAGCGTCGGCTGGACTTTTAAGGGAGCAGAAGGTCATCTCTGTATAAGCTTGCTGATAGCACTGATTTACTATCCTAGATGTAGAGAATGAGAGCACCAACCATTGCAGGGAGAACTTGACCAGGAAGCAGAAGTGCTGGGACATCTGTGATTACTAGGGAGAGAAGAGTGTCAGGAGTCTGTAGAAGCTGCCTAACATGGGAAAATTCTTCTGAGGTGATGTGAGATCTGTTTGGGAGGAGAGCCTTAGCCACACTGTGGTAGAGCTGAAGGTCGTCAGAACTCTGAGAAGACTTTTTGTTTAGTTGCCTTTTTTTAATAGGAAAACTCTTTATGTATTATAACTCAAACTTCTGCTTAAGCATCTTAACCAAACTGCAGTGAAGAATGTAACTGGTTCAAAATGAGATATTGAGTGGTGGTTGGGCGATGAGTTTCAGCAGATAATATACAGCCATGGCCTCTTTTGTGCCAACTTGAGGCCTCACACAGAATCAAATTTGGAAGCTGATTAAGCTGAAAGCTGTTTACTTTCCTTCTCTGGATTAATGTTCAGCTGGATCGGTTCTCTCGCCCATCAGACTTCAGTGGGGACTGTGTAAGTATTTATGCTGAAACAAGACAGGAGATGGGAGAAGGTTTTCATCACTTTGTTGCACGGGAGTATGGATTTAGATTGAAGTCATTCATGGGACTGCATCCTGAACATACAGGGAGATCAGTACAGTGATTTATTAATTAATAATTAAAATTTAATTACCTTGAAGACTTCAATAAAACATCACAAGAAGAACAGCTGAGTGCCTTAAGAGTTTGTTTTAAGCATGTTCATTGAATTACTGTCAGATGGGAAGAGAGAATTATAAAGGCTAACACTAGCCAAGTGAGGTTAACCTCCATGTGCTGCTTCTGTATGTAATGGGGAAAAGAGAGGGGGTCTGCTAAAGGCTTTTGTGGAATGTTGTTGGGAACATGGCATTCTCTTTCATCTGTGGGTTTTCGGCTTGTTTATGTTAGGACTTAAGGGATGCATCATTTAGTTGCACAAACTAAACTCGAACACTTGTTACAGTAACAGTAATGTACATATTCTTTTCCAGGTCAGGAAGGCCAACTCATTGCAAAGGCTCTCCCAGGATGCTGTTAGTGCCTTGCAGTGCTTTCACTGCAATGCTTTAAGAGTTTCTCTCTCTCTTAGTAGGTCTCCTGGCCTGATAGGATACTCTCAAGTTCTTTCTTCTCTCTCTTGACAGAGAAGTGAAAAGTTACAAAAACCTAAGAAGAAATTAGAAGGAAGTAGCTGGGAAAATGGTCATTAAAAAGGCATCTGGTTTGTGTTGCAGTTCTCTGGTTGCCTAAAAATGTAAACAAAATGTAAATCTTGACGGTAATGATTTGTGCCTTTTATGCAGTCTTTCTTCTATGGCTAAATACATTCTGAAATCTCACGCATGTTGTGTTCTTTTTTGCTAGGAACTTGATAAAGAGCTTCCAGTGTTAAAACCTTACTTTGTTCAAAAGCCAGAACTTGCTGGGAAGACAGGAACTGGTATGCGAGTCACGTGGTTGGGACATGCCTCAGTTATGGTGGAAATGGATGAACTTGTATTTCTTACTGACCCAATCTTCAGCCAGCGAGCTTCCCCTACTCAGCTGATGGGTCCCAAGCGCTTCCGAGGACCTCCGTGCACAGTAGAGCAGCTCCCCAGAATAGATGCAGTCATGATCAGCCACACCCATTACGATCATTTGGACTACAACACTGTAATGAGTTTGAATGAACGCTTTGGGAGTGAGCTGCGCTGGTTTGTGCCTCTGGGGCTCCTGGACTGGATGCAGAGATGCGGTTGTGAGAACGTGATTGAACTGGATTGGTGGGAAGAGAACTGTGTCCCTGGTCATGATGCGGTAACTTTTGTCTTCACTCCTTCTCAACATTGGTGCAAAAGGACTGCAACAGATGACAACAAGGTTCTCTGGGGCAGCTGGTCTGTCTTGGGACCTTGGAATAGGTTTTTCTTTTCAGGAGATACTGGATATTGTGTTGCTTTTGAACAGATAGGTAAAAGGTTTGGACCTTTTGATCTTGCAGCCATCCCCATTGGAGCTTATGAGCCAAGGTATGAAAATCAAAGTTTGATCAAAATACATAAATGAGATTACATACTGACGACAAAGAAATACACCCAGAAGTAAACAATGTAGGTATACTTTATTAAGAATATACATTAGAACGTAGAGGCAAAAGAAGGAAATTGCTGAGGCAAAAGGACATGCTGAATGACAAAAAAAACCCCAGGCAATTGGAAGAGCTGAAAGACCTAGGATGCTTGCCTATGTGTGTGTGATGCTCTTGAAGAGTTTTCTTCAGTCTTCAGCACAGCAAGCTGACTTTCTTTCATGAAAAATATGGACTAAAAATCTGTAATTACTTTGTGGGGTTTTTTTTTCTGAAATAGCAATTAATCCAACCAGTTTAGATGCATGCAATTTGCTGCTTTTTTCTCTTTTTTATGCTGTTTTTGCAACTTACCTGGAGATAAAGGTGACTCTAGGGTATGAAAGATCCGTTTGTTTAGGCATCTATATCGTACTTATGACAGGGTTCTAAACTTTTAGATTATAATACTCATATAATGCTGGAATCAAAGCCTGTATAGGCTGGGAAAGGAAAATAGCAATCTGAATAACGTGGTAAAAATCCGGTATCTTTCAAGAATTGCCAGGTGCTCTCTTCTGCTTTACCATTTCCTCAGGCTATCATCTGAAGCATACACTTTTTGGCGTGTGCTGCTAGCATGAAATTTTTTCAGGGATGGATTTAAATCTATGGCCTTAATGCCTCAAGGAACCAGTAATATGTCCATATGGTATTAAAAATATAGATTAAAAAAAAATCCATTTGAAAAGGGGAGTGAAATACATGAACTGCTATTTTGTGGGTATGTTGGTATATTCCAGCTTGTTGATTTTGAGGATTCCTATGTTGTTCAGACATACATGCTCCATAATTTTTTTTTATTAGGTGTTAGATGGGGAGTTTTTTGTTTGTTTATTTTTAGACTCTTTGTCTCTTACCCAATGAAAGTAAAGAAGAAATCTTGCACTGAATTAAGTGACACAAAAAAAATCTACTTTGTGTTTTGGTAGGTGGTTTATGAAATACCAGCATGTGGATCCTGAAGAAGCAGTAAGAATCCATATTGATGTTCAAGCAAAGAAGTCTGTAGCAATTCATTGGGGGACCTTTGCTTTAGCAAATGAGGTAAATTTCAACACTATACATGAGCTCAGATTTCCTGCGAACACAGCATATGAAGGTTTGCTCTTGCAGTTTAACCTAGGTATCTGTAAATGTTTATTTAAAATGTAAACTTTGTGTAAGTGAAAAGTTGTTACTATATGTACTGCAGTTAAAAACAATGTTTAGCTTTTCATAACCAGTTACATGAAATATTTCTGTTAACATTTATTTGAAAGTAGAGTTGCTGAAACAAATGTGGAGGATTTCTGACATCCAAAAGGTGTGGATATGCATGCAAGTAAACTCAGCAGTGCATCACCTGGAGGCAGTAGGAGTTGCATGCCTGTAGGTCAATACAGTATTTATTAATCGTGTCTGTCTCATAAATAAATGGAATAGTATTTTTAATAGTTGATTTGTAGTTAAACCAGCACAATATGAAAAACTAAGTTATTCTGAGTTGCTGATTTTTCAAATAAAATTTTCTTTTACTCCCCTCCCACTCCTCCCCAAGTCCCCAGTTCTGATAAGGAAGTTACCCAGGTACCTTCACAATGACTAAAAATGCACTGAAAGGGAAGTATCTACATCACCTTTGAGACACCTTGTCTGGTAGCTGTTTTTCAACTTTGTATCAGTTGTGTCACTTTATCTTGTAAGTCAGTCCTGATGCCGTTACCTATGTTCACCTGCTATCTTTTCCTTAACTTGGATATAACATTTCCTTATCCATGATGCTTCCAATAGTCACTAGTGCCAACACTACAAATGCTGCTATGCATTTAGAAGCACAAAATTGGATTATTTCTTCCTGATGACGCCTTTTCAGAAATGTAACAAAGACAATGAAGTAACTTCATGGGGACCCCACTGAAATGGGACTAGTTTTTAAACAGCAAAGCTGACAAATGTTTCACTGCCCGAGAGAAAGCGCCATCTGCTGACCTGCCAACTCTCCTCTCACCGCATTTCTGCTTCTAAGGGAGCTACTTTAATACATGGAAGACTGAATTTTAGATGTTAAGTTGTGCCTTGCTAGTTACTCTACAACTGTAAATCAGTATTCTTACCGTTTAATAACTGAAAATGAAACCAAACATTTTGACAAATGTCTTTCCTCCCTTCCCCACTTTAGGTAATGTTTAAAATATAAATTGTATCTTGTTTAGAGCAGCGATATTCTTTTTTTTTTTCTCTACAAATGCTGCAATGGTATCTTTTCCCTCATATTATTCTTATTTTTTCAGTACTACTTGGATCCTCCAGTTAAACTGAATGAAGCTCTTGAAAGATACGGCTTGAAAAAAGACGACTTCTTTGTCTTGAACCACGGAGAATCACGGGAGTTGAGTACAAATGATGGGTTTGAGTAATGAAACAGTAGCAGTTCCGTGTTTGATTTGAACTAGCAATTAATGTTACAGATATTAATATGATGTACTTACAAAATAGACTTTCTGGAGTGAATTGGATTTTCAGATGCCAGGTTTGTCAGTTTCAGAACTAAAACTTGCATACCAACTTCGTGATAAATTTTACTAGTTATATTGTTTATAAAACTTGAGAGGTGACCTAAAAAAAACCTGGTTACTATTTAAGGTATTGTCTGGGAATAACTTGCAGTTTCAACTCGTATATACACCACTGATAAATTGCTGGGGTTTTTTACAAAACTCATCTTACCTGCAGCAGCAATAATAACCTCAGCACAGGACATATTCTTAGAATTAATGGCTGACTTAAATTAGTCATTGTTAGAATGTCATCTCCCACTTGTTAGTCATTAACCTTCAGGTTATGTCCTGTGCCCTGATAGCTTCACTGTATGTTTTGTGGGGTGGAGTCTTCCAATACAGCTGTGTTGTTAAAGCACAAGCACAGTAAAATAATTATTTTACTGAGTGCTTCTACATTTTCATATCTTGACGAACCACAAAAGCTTAATTTTACAATGATCTAAAGAAATGTGCCTTTTAAAGAAAGAGATAATTTAATATTGCATCACTGATGTGTAAAACTTACTGCTGGACAGAGTATGTGCACACTTTCATTGTTTTGTCAATGTTTTTAAGTTAGGCCTGAATGTGTCTAAAATAACTTTCTTGTCAAATGCAGTACATGAAATGGAAGAATCCCTTAATGGCGCTTGTCTTTGCATTGACTCAGCCTATTACTAAGTATTTTTTTTTAAAGTCTTAAGCAAGGGCTGCGGTATTTTTTCTTCTAACTTCCCTATAATTTTAAAGTTAAATGAGAGATTATAACATTGTTCAGTATTGTAAAACTTGGCTAAATGTATCTGTACCAAATTGCCATGCTAATTTATAGAATTAAATCCTATTGTTGCCAATAAAAAGGCCTATTGTTGTTCTTCATAATTCACTGGCAAATTATCTTTTTTGGTCATGATTTGTTTTGGTCTCTGGGATATGTGTGGGTTTTTTGGTCTTGCTGTGCATTACATTTTATGTTCATGAATATAAATAAAAAAGACACATTATTTCCCTGCAGTTCAGACATGAACTTTTGGCAACTAATTAAAACCAGTTAATGAGAATTCATCCTAGGACCAAAACTGTGGTAATCTTAACTGTTACCAGTTAACTTTTAAAAATTTATATTGGGAAGTCCTAGAATTCTTACAGCTATTAATACCAACAAAGAACAGCACGAGGAGGCAAAGATCAGTTAGTCCAAGTTGATACAGAGGGTTACAATTTTATGTTAGAAAAAGTAGCGTATATTTCTTTGGGATTCATGTTTGACAAACATCAACATTTCTTTATTTGAAGAGGTAATTCTAGCATGGTCTGGATGTATTCACCAGAATTTGATCAAAACTGGTTTAAAACTACTCTCAGTCATTCAGTGTTGATTTTGGGAGCGTATTTCAGATGAAGTCTCTATTGGGGCACATTTACACAATAGCTTCAATAACAATTTGGATAATATAATGCATATTACATGTCCATAATATTGTGGAGGACATCAAGCTGCAGGATGTTTTGAGTACTTTGAAGGATTAAAATTGAAGTTGTTGGGTTGGTTTTGGGTTTTTTTTTTTTCAGTTTTCAAAATCATCAATAGACTATTCTATGAAATTCTGTACTTCAGAAAGAAAGAGTGAAGCTAAAATACAGAATACCTAGACAAGCAACCACATAGCAGAGAAGGATTTGACACTAAATTTCAGTAAGGGGATATGTTTTGGTTTGCATCTATTAATTCAGTTGTATGTAGAACAGTGACTGTTACGCTTTGCTTGCTGCTGGTAAGATTCCATCGAGGGTGTGGGATAAAAAAATTAGGCATACTTGCATGAAGACACTTTGGAGAGTCCTGCCTAAATACAAAACATCTCAACAGCATTGTTCTATGAAGAAAGCATTTAAAAATAGGTGTTTCTAGACCAGAAGATGACTGAGCCAACACTAATGACTTTCACGTTTTTTTTTAGAAAAGGGGACAATGGTCACTTGTTTCTGTCAGCTAGCAAATCAGAGGATGAAGAGATCAACTTTATCAAAAAGATGATATTTGAAAAACTTATTTTTGGGTTGGAGAACATGGGGAGGGACATATAGACATCTCCTGTGCTGAGCTTAAGAAAACATATATACATCAGATATACCTAGAACAGACTAATCTTAAATTCTTGTCAGAAGAAAAGGGTGGGATTGGTAAATTCTTGGTATCTGACCTAGACTTTATTTTCCTTTGTTAAATAGAGAAGCAGAAAAAAATTAAAACTACGAAAAGTGACAAAACATTGATTGATTGTAATGTAACATGCTTATTACAAAATAAGCAGTTTTTGGAGCAGTGGGAAGGTGAAAGGGAAGTTCACTGTCAATACAGCAATTGTCAGGTTCTAACTGGGAATCATGCCAACTTCGATTTCTGCCTTAATTGTATTCCTGGTGAGTTAAAACTACCGAAGTAGATAAATTAGATACATGTAGCTTCATCCCAGTATTGATCAGGGTATAGATACGTTGTTATTTTCAAGGTCACATTTTTCTTGCAGTTTTAACTATGTGCAAAGTCACCTACTGAAAGTAATTATCTATTGAATTACAGAAAGAGAAGACAGTAGTAATTTTATTAACAGCAGAGTGGATATATTAATGTTAGAAAGATTAAGCATCTGTAACAGTTTAGATAATACAGTTCTCTTATAAATAATGTAAGATGGAAAACTTGTTTTCTAGCCTTTACATTTGACACTTTTTTTACTTTATGATGTGGTGTTCAGGAAGTTTTAGTAGTCTCGTTTTAGTATGAAGTGTTTTCTAGTATGTTTTATGTTCATCAATGAAACTTCCTTCAGGTTCTTTTATGGTGATGTTTATATGTATTCCACTTCATTTTGAATTAACGGTGGATGGATGACTAAAACTTTATGGGAGCTAACTCAACATAAGTACTTACTCTGATGATGTTCTAGTTGAAGAGAAAAAGGAATAAAGCTCTCCAAGGAAAGCAGGCTTGAGGGCTGCTACAGGACAGGAAGCTTTTGTAAAAATGTGTATGATACTGCTCTTATAGACTTATAGAGATGAGAACGTTGAACTGCAGTTGCAGATAATCTTTGACTCCTATGTTGAAAAATAGGTATGCTTTCCTTGAATTGATAATTTTAAAGCAAGATCTAATTTTTTTTTTTCTCAACTGTAGAAACCTTGCACAGTTGTGGTTAACTGCACTGCAGTTTGGCTAAACGGCATGGATATACTAAGCATATGAGAATGTAGTTTTAGAATATATTCTGTACAGGTGAAAAAACAAACTGGGTAACTTTAATATGCAGTTTTCATTGAAACTACTGATTTTGTAGGAAGTCAATGCTAGTTTGGTTTTCTAATTCAGTATTTTCTAAGATTTGCTTGCATTAATTTAGTACATATCAGACTAATAAAATGTAAATGTCTAATCTCTAATTGCTAAATATTTAATGTACCATTCTACAGAGGTATTATTCAACAAGTGTAAATACTTAAGGCAACAAAAATTCATTATGGTATTGAGAAGAACACTTTGACTTAGCCATCTAATATGTTCACTGTACATATGAAAGTTCTCATGTTTTAAACTACTCCTCCCCCTTTGTATACATGTACAGTGGTTTCTCGGTACTAATTAAGCTCTTGCCTTTATCCTGATCAAAAAAATTTGTTATGCTCTCTATATTAAATACATCGCCTTCTCTTCTAGAGTAACTGATTTGTGCCTAATCATATGGTAGTATTCAGGGTTTTTTTTGTTGTTTTAGTGTTTGCTTGTGGGTTTTTTTAGCACAGCATTCCTAAGATTAGATATTTTCACCAGGTCATTTTGGTTTTTAAGAAAATTACTATTGTGTTAATATTCTCACAACTTGCTCTTTCACTTCTGTATCGGGGTGATGCAACAAAGATGCCAGTTTCTGAGCAAATGGGGTAGAGTCCCTGCAAAGTGTAAAGAAAATTGAATCTTTACTGTATTGGTCCTGAATCATGGTGCCATCTTCATTGTTCATGTTCTTCTTCAAGTTTGCTGCAAAGGCCAGGGCTCTAAGCAGAATATCTCTGTTTATACAGTTGTCAAAAAGTAACAGCAATGATGGTACCTAGGATATTCAAGAAATAATCCATACTTAGTCACCAGCAGTAAGTACATGTAATTAAATCTAACTTTTAAAAAAATGGAAAAAAAAATCTGCACCTAAACCTTTAAAAACAGAAACCCTATGAAATACCAGAACGCCCTATGCTGTGAAAGCATACCAGAAACTTGCACAGCATGCAAATTTCCTCTTTAGAAAAGACTGGCTTGTGCATCACAGGCTAATAAATGCTTTGTAGTTTCAATCTTCAAAATGTGGCTGTCTGGAAAATTCCCATTTGGAAGAGAGGGTCTGGCTTTCCTTCTCAATAATGCTGCTTTTGCCCTCTGCAGTGATCTGGATGTTTTTATGTTAGTGTATCTGATAAACAAGAAAAGGATATATTTTTAACAACTGAATATTTAGTTACCCTAATCTTGTTTTAATAATGAAAAGCTGGTAGTATCTAGACCAGGTTTGCTCATGGCAGATAGCTCAAAAATAAAAGCCACTGCATGTTTTAAGAAACTTACTTTGGGGAGGGGGAGGAGGATGCAGCACCATTCCAGCTCCCTGACTCTGTTTTGGTGTGAGGAAAAGATGTAACTGAAATAAACCTGCATGCCAAGGCCAGCAATAGCATAATGTCAGATACAGTTCTCCACAAGGACATAAGCAAATCCCCAGTGAAAGTTCACTTAGAGTGCTCAGAGACAACAGTTTTATGGCTGTGTTCAAGTAAAGGGGTGGGGATTTCAGTGGAATTGGGTCATCTTAGGTACAATATGTTAGTTATAGAAATGGCTGTTGAGAAGGATCATTTACAGCACTGGTTGCAGTTGATGTTTGTTCCTGGTCTTCAACCTGTATACTCACTGCATGTCTGGACATGAAGTTCTGAGTTTGTTTTTCAAACTTATCAGGGTACCTTATTTGTATTACATGCAAAAGTTCATGGTACTACCCCTTTGCTGGAATGCGAAGGTGAGAACAGGCTTCTGCAAGTTGTCACTGATTGTTTGGAATGGTACACAGCAGTATGACCAACTGTCCTCCAGTGCATAGGCCCTGTGACCCCCCCTGCAAGCACACTATCTGTACTACCCTAGCTCTGGAAGAAAGCTAGCCTGTGAAAGAATGTACACTTCTAGCTGCTGATTCTGACCCGGTACTACCTGAAATTTTACTCTGGTGTTGCATATATACCTCTAATACATTAAAATTCTTCCAATGCATGCACTTACCTACACGCATACACATGTATAAATGCTAAAAATACAATGAAACAGCAAGAACCTTACTTCAGCTCTGAGGAGATGTCTTGTCATGGCTGGGTTTGCAGATAAGTTCACAAGTACTTTCAAAACTTGAATCTGAAATGGGGAACATCCAAGTTCATTGCAAGCTCAAAAACCAGCAAGTACAGCAGTAATGGTCATCAATGTCAGTGTTGACTTGGAAAGGAAATGGTAAACAGGTCAACTAACATCCTGAGTTGTGTGCTTCAGTCTTTGGTATAGGAAAAAACAGCTTATGGAGTCATTAGCATGCATGTACTAAGAACTGACATTTTAGAAGCAAATTCAGTTTGATTTAAACATCAAAACAACGCAAGATCCATACACAACTCACAGTAGGCAAAATATGGAATATTTTTTAAATGTACAGAGGATAGCTAAGTACCATATTTAAAATGTGATAAGAAGCATATACAAATACACCTTTGTACTTTCCTGGACCTTGTGACACTCATCTTTTAACTAAATGCTAGGAAAAAGCCAAGTGCTACTTAATATACTTAAGTAAAATAGGTCTGCTAAGTTTAATGGAAACTGTGTTTTGAAAAATGTTTTTTGATCCGATAGAGCAACTAAGTAAGTTGATATTGATGGTACTGTGACATCTTGAATAAACGCTGAATTAGGCCCCTATTTGAAGCTTTTCTCTTTCAACATTACAATAATTCACAAACAACTGTAAATGTTTCATTCACAAATAATATATTACAGTCACAAGGGTTGAAAGAGATGTAGTAAGCATAAGGAAGAGAAATCCATAACTCAGGTTATCACTGCCTGGCATATTTCTACAGAGACTCATGCATCAGTGAAGCCTTTCATGTGCATATTCTCCTGCCCTGCGATGCAGTAGCAATGTTTACAAGCAGAAGAGAATTCTGGAGTTGCTATAGGCATGGAACAACAGCAGTACACACAGCATTGCTTTGGTAGAGCTCTAGCCCAGCAGTTCCACTATCGAGATTCTCTTCCTCCTCTCTTCAGAAATTACACTGAGAAAGTAATACAGGCTTTATGCACTATTTGCTACTATTAATGAATATTTGATTTTCTAAGCACAGTCTAAACCATTTTACAAAACCAGTGAAAAGGAGGCAAGTAAAGCAGCTTCATAAAAGGTTTGTAACCCAGTACCTGTGTCCTTTCAGTTCCTTCTGAAAGCAAATGAAGAAAGCACAGAATTGAGTTTAGCATCTTATGGTGGTAGTTACTGGTAACAGACATATTTGTCAACAATCTGAGTCCAGCTAGCTGCAGATCAGAATTCAGGGGAGCTGACTCAACATTCCTACAAACTTGTGTAATATACACCTGGGGCAAGAGGAAAGGAGATAAAAAGAGAAGACATTTTTTTTATACAAGTAGATTTTCTATTCACAAATAGTATCAGTGGCCTAGCTACAGTAGCGTAAATACCTCTTGAACACCACTGGCTGAATACATATCCTGATCAAAGTTCTTGGAAACAAGTACTTTTTTTGTTTGTTTTGAACATATTCAAGCATTCTATTGGCATGACAGAAGCAGACCTTACAGAGTTATGCTCACTAACTGTCCTGAAGCATAAATTGCTCTGAAAACCCAAACTGCTTTGATTCCATCTCAGAAGTGGTACAGGTAATCTAAGGAGTTATGTAAAAAAACCACAGCAACTAACATAATCTTAAATGATGAGAGCAAGCTAAGGACAAGTCTTGGAATGAAATCCTTTCCTCCAACCATGTGGCCCATTCACTGGAGTACTCCTCAGGAATGGTGATGACAACTCATGTTAACAACTATAATTTACCATATCTTCTTCTGGATGACAGTATACAACAAATCTTGTAATCTTAACTAAGAAAAAAATTACTTTGCCTTTACCAAAACTGTATGCCTATATAAATATTTGCTCTTGGCCGTACTTTAAAGAAAGTTGTTCCATGCTAAAGATGCTGCACACTACCATGTACAGTCAAACTGCCTTTTCATCAAGCTAATGAAAAAAATAGTAAATATCTTCAAATATGCCTCAGCTCACTGCTTGGACACTTCTTGACCTATTAATTAATCTGATAATGTAAAAAATGTATGCTTTTTTGTCAGTTGATCCTTTCACATGCATAGCATCTACTATATTTTGCCAGTGGGACCTGTTATTGTTTTTACATGCTGTTCTTTTAAAATGAAAGTATCACCCTGAAAAATTGGTCTCATACGAACCCAGGGGATCAACTTACAGTTTTCCTCTCCCTTGCCCAAGAAGTCATGCTAAGTTCAGTCTGTAATCCATCCTATTAAACAATTACTGCTGATGTTCTAGACATGTCTGGAAATCATCTTGCCTCACATAATTTTACTACAAATTGTTTAATAGCATTTGGTGAAAGCTGAACACAAACTGCCTAGTTTCCTAACCATCTTTTTTAAAAAGTGTCAGCAATACAAGGCATTTTTAAGTTATCCTTTTGGCCTTGGGATGCACAGATCTTCTAGATCCATTGACTTGTATGTCTAACATCAAAATATTTGGGCATCCTGGCTTATATTTAACAAATATGCTGAAATACTATCTCCCATGTCTCAATTACTTTGATTTTGCCCTTTAAAAAACTTACCTGTATCTCTTCCTGATTTTTATTATTCATACTCAAATTATTAAGTGCATTTAGTGCTTTTTCTTTAACTTTGGGAACACAGTCTGAGAGCATCCCTCCAATAACAGAAAGACCATCCAAATTTCGGATTATATCCTGAAATATAAAATAGATATTTAATAAGACTTTAAAAAATTTAAATTACATGCTGAGAGCTATCCTCAAGGTTTACATTTAAACACAAATTGAATGTGTGAATGAAGACTTCCAGAATAGACTGTTTAAAGAGAGTGTTTGCAGCTAATTTAAATTTTGAAGCAGTAAAGCAGTAAGAAAGTAGTCCTGCTTAGGGTCAAAGTATTATTTGACATTATTTGACAATGGCACAACACCTTTACTTTTGAAGTCCAGCTGCAAAGCATGTTTAAAGCATCCTAGATTATAAAGAATCAAAGGTAATTATTGCATAATGACACTATAGAATAGCTGAGCCAGCTCACAGTACCTAAACATCCAGACTGAACAGAACAGGATTTCAAGACACAGCTTTATATTATTATGGGAAGAAGTTCTAAAACTTTATCTTTCTTTTCTGTTACACTTGATTTTTTTTTTTTTTTTAGATCTTTCTCACTTAAGACTCTAACCATCACTGAAAAAAACATGTACTGTTTTCAAGAAAATGAAAAATAGGCCAGTGGGCCTTGGGATTCAGTTACGTTCTGTTCTGAGAGATTTATATTAAGAAAACAGTTTTGAGAAGCCAGAACAGACAGCTATCATAAGTGACATATAAAAAGGAAAAATAAAACCCAACCAACCAAAGTAGGACCCTGAAGGTTAAACCTTTACAAATGTATGAAAATCTATGTCCAGCTCAAAGTTTATCGGCATCATATTTCCAATTGATTCGCAGATACCTGGATAGTTGGAAGGTTGCTAAGATGTAAGTGGCATATAACTTTGTAAAGACAAAAAATTATCTCAATAAATTTCGGATCTGATCCTGAAAGTATTTAGCGCTTCTCCAATTCAACCCTTTCATTAACATTACATAACTCTAAGTAACAAAAGATATATTTACAGCACTTTTAAAATACAGAACTCTGTACAGACTTTAAGTTGTACAAACATTAAGCTTAGATAAATTCTGTGAAGCTGGTAAATTATATTATTCAGGCTAGCAGAAGTTAAGGCATGGACATACAACAGATTTTTGAACACAAGCTATCCTAGCTCTCAGTCCTGTGTCATTCTTCAGCAAAACAGCACCTCTAATCTTCCATACTGACTGGTATTGAAGCAGTGTTGTTTTCTACAGAACAATACTTACTTGATTTACAGAGAAGGCAGCACTGTTGCTGAGAGTGATTAAAGCTTGTTCTTGAATTAATGGATCATCTGTGGCCTGGAGCAAATGAATAAGTTTCTGTAGAGCATCTGCATCCATGGTATGGGCTGATGCTGGAGGACTGTTGCCTGCCAGTGTTTAAAAATGAAATACTTGATACCAAGTTTGAGATATTTCACATAGTTATCACTTAATGTTTTTTACAAAGCTGAAGTTTAGTTCTCAGTTGTAGAACATGTTGTTCCAAGTTTGATTGTACCCAACCATCGTATCATGTCAAAAAGACCGTGTTTTACAACAGCAAGACTTACATCCTTTTTCCCCTCCCCGAGTCCTCTGACTACCTTCAAGTAGAAAATAAAAGGAATACATAACAAGAGCTTGAAGTATGTTACTCTTTGGTTAATCAACAGCAAATCTCCCCTTCAAAATATTAGGAATAATAACCAAACATGTTAAGTTTTTGTGTACCCTGAAATTAAATGCGGAAATCTGTCTGGACACTGTTGGAAAACAAAACTTCTGACTTGCAGACTACTACTTCCAGAAATTATGATCATGTCGATTTGCTATTACCCTGAGGTCATTTGACAAAGTAACAGCCCGAACATGAAGAACACTGCCAATCATGCCATCACTCAACCAGCTCAGGAAGGCTGTTTCTGTGTCAGGGTGATGTTATGGAGTATCTGACTTTCATAAAAGGGTGACACAAATGCCATCAAAGACCATTTCCAGCCAGGATGGAGGCAGAACTGTTTAGCTAGCTGAATAGCCTGAAGACCTAATCTATGACTACTGCATTAGTCATAGATGACTTGAGATGACTTTTGAGAAGCTACCCTGTCCTTTATAATTCCACATATTTGCTGCCATCACCTTACCAGGCAAACATAGTATTCTTGGGGGAGGGGAAATCAAAGTTAATTATGATAATCCACGAGCTAACTTGAAAAACAAAATTGTTTACCCTCATCTCATCCTTGTCTAAACACTTGACTTAGCTCTGAATTATAGGGGGAACACAAATAACTTTAATTACAGAACAGCAAATCAGCCCATCAAGTAAATACACTGATTGGACGTACGCTTCAGGAGACTAAAAAAAAATAAAATTAGGTTTTTCTAAATATAAACCATGCCTAGAATCCTTTGAAAACCTCGCGTGGCTGTCAGAGGCCGGTAAGCAGTACTGAGGTATCCCCTCGCACAGGCAGCAGATCGGCCTCCGAGGCCGCAGGCAGGCAGCAGCCCGGAGCCGCGCTCCAGAGCCGCGGGCAGCGGCCC